GTTTAATCATGCTGAGAAAAAAACGCCGTACATATTGTTTAATCGGGCTTCTTTATTGCTAATAAACTTGTTTTTTTTGAGAAAAAAATGGTTATACGCCAATTGAATTGGTTAAGCTTTGTGAAACATCAGGAACACCGTACATATTGTTTAATCAGGCTTCTTTTGAGAAAAAAAATGCTATACGCCAATTGAATTGGTGAAACATCAGGAACACCGTACATCTTTGCTGAGAAAAAAACGCCGTACATATTGTTTAATCAGGCTTATACACCAATTGAATTGGTGAAACGTCAGGAACACTGTACATCTTTGTTTAATCAGACTAACAAACTTGTTTTTTTTGAGAAAAAAATGGGTATACACCAATTGAATTGGTTAAGCTTTGTGAAACGTCAGGAACACCGTACATCTTTGTTTAATCAGGCTTCTTTATTGCTAATAAACTTGTTTTTTTTGAGAAAAAAATGGTTATACACCAATTGAATTGGTTAAGCTTTGTGAAACATCAGGAACACCGTACATCTTTGTTTAATTATGCTGAGAAAAAAAACACCGTACATATTGTTTAATCAGGCTTCTTTATTGCTAATAAACTTGTTTTTTTTGAGAAAAAATGGTTATATACCAATTGAATTGGTTAAGCTTTGTGAAACATCAGGAACACCGTACATCTTTGTTTAATCAGGCTTCTTTATTGCTAATAAACTTGTTTTTTTGAGAAAAAATGGTTATACACCAATTGAATTGGTTAAACTTTGTGAAACATCAGGAACATCGTACATCTTTGTTTAATCAGGCTTCTTTATTGCCTTGTTTTTTTTGAGAAAAAATGGTTATACACCAATTGAATTGGTATTGGTTAAGCTTTGTAAAACATCAGGACACCGTACATCTTTGTTTAATCATGCTGAGAAAAAAACGCCGTATATATTGTTTAATCAGGCTTCTTTATTGCTAATAAACTTGTTTTTTTTGAGAAAAAATGGTTATACACCAATTGAATTGGTTAAACTTCGTGAAACATCAGGAACACCGTACATCTTTGTTTAATCAGGCTTCTTTATTGCCTTGTTTTATTTTGAGAAAAAATGGTTATTCACCAATTGAATTGGTTAAGCATCAGGAACACCGTACATATTGTTTAATCAGGCTTCTTTTGAGAAAAAAATGGGTATACGCCAATTGAATTGGTGAAACATCAGGAACACCGTACATCTTTGTTTAATCAGGCTTCTTTATTGCTAAATTGCTTGTTTTTTATGAGAAAAAACCGTGCCGAAATTCGAATTGTATCACTTTAGCCAATCAGATTAAAAAAAATAAACTGCAATTTGACAAAATTGTTATTTCATCAACACAATCTAATTTTTTTGTGAAACATCAGGAACGCTGTACGGATTTATTAAGTTTATTTCATAGGGTATCTTTGTCGTCTGTATATTTTAACTAATGTAAAATTTAATTAATTCCAAATTAATTAATTATTTGCTAAATTTACTTTATTCTGAAGACTTAAAGGTAAAGATTATTTACCCGAATGATGACTGTTAACATTGTTTAAAAATGTGTCAACAATAAAAAAAAGTCGATTGAAATTTTTAACTTATATTTGTTACAATTGTAAGGGTCAATTGCATCACAATTACGTATCTAATTTAACCTTGAATTTCATAATATAATTTAACATATATTGTAAAATAAAATGATAACATAATGCATAATAAAAATTTCCTTAATCAAATAATAAAATTTGACATAATAAAAATTGGTTCAAATAATACATAATTCAATAAAATTATTTCAAAACTTAGTACTACTCTAGAATATAAATTTACCACATATAATTATAAAAAATCCAACTTGGTTGGGCATATTAAAAAACTGCATAATTCCTAGATTTGAGATTATAAGCAAAGTTAATAAAACGAAAATTTAACTCATAACATATTTAAGTATATACCTTATAACTAAGAAATTTAAGATTTTAATTAATTAGGTTGATTCTTTAATTTTTCCAATACTAAATTGGCAAGAATTTTAAAGTCTTCAATTTCTACTTCTTTTAGATAATTTAAGGTAAGCTTCAAAGGCCGAATAATGTTAAGAAATTTTTCAAGATCGATCTGTTCTTTTTCTATTTCTTTTCTTACATAATCTACCAGGTCATAGACCCTTTTCAACTGAGCTGTTTCAGCCCTCTCTGCTCCTTCTGTTGACAAAGAGTTCTTGATCAAATTGCTAATTTTTTTATTTTTTGCATCATCATATTTGAACGTTAGACTTTCAATATGCTTAGAAAGTAAATGAAATTGTTTGAAAATCGAGTAAACGATTGACCATTCCAAATCAGCTTGTTGTTGTTTTTTGTTTTGTTGTAATATTTTATTGTATAACATCCATTCTTTAGGATCATATGTATTCGAAGCTAATACAAGTATAACAAAGAACCAATGCATGACACGTGATTCATGCATTTATCACATCATCTACTCCTTAACAAAAGGAAAATCGCATACCACAAAGAGCATGCAGTTAGGAAGGTATAAATTACAGTATATAGTCACATAATAGATTCTAAATACAGTCGTCCTCCCATACAGTCACCTCCTATATAATCACAAACTCTATATAATCACATAATTTTATACGGGCAT